CGGCTCTCCTGCTCCACCAGCCTGGCTGGGGGAGCGGGGCAGGGCAGCCCCTTTATATAGTCCTCGTCTCCAGCACGGCCTCGTCTCCTCTATATATAAACCGAGAAATTACAGCCCTCCCCGGGCTGTGGTCATCAGACATGCTTGGCCGGGAGCTAGGAGAAACAAACTTGGTTTTGCGAGCCTACAGGCTTTTTATATCCAGCCTTCCTCCCGCGATGAGGAGCACAGACGGCTCCAGCGTGACCGAGGGAGAGGCCGAGCTCTCGGGGAGGACTGTCGGGATGGAGCCGCGGGATGACTTTGAAACCAAGTGGCCGTCACCCCGAGGGGCCGATACGAGACAGACCCTCGGTGCCAGGATCTCTCGCTGCGCCAGCTCGCCCCGCTACCGTCAGCCCGATCCCTCCAGGTGATCTCGGCTGGGAAGACCCTTCATTTGCAGCACGTTTGGGCCGCCGGATGCATTAAATGGGAACTTAATCCTAAAACGTGGAAGAGCTACTTCTAGCAAAGCTCCGGAGTTGGAGCTGTGTCACAGGAGGGGGTGTGGACGGCCAGAGAAGCACAGAGATGGTTTTTGTTTCCTTCTGCTATGCCTAAACCTTTAGAGACGCTTATCTGTGGTCTGGGCTGGAAGCGCTCTGCACGGCAGTGGGGATGGCGGCGGAGCTGCGGAGCTGGTGGGCAGCACGTGCTGGCGGCAGCGGGAGGAGGAGGAGGCTGTCCCGAGGATGCTCCTCTCCCTCCGTGCTGTGAATAAGGCGACAGGAAAGGGGCTTTGGCAGGACGAGCTTTATTTGTGGCAAGTGATCTATATACATGTCGTAGCTCGGTTAAAGCAGCTCCCCGCCAAGGCGCACAAGCGAAGAAAGGGGGGCTGTCCCCTGCGTCCCAGTCCGGCCCACCCATCCCCTTCCATGCCGTGGCCGTGCTGGGACACCCAGGGGTGCAGGCAGCGAGGGGACGGGGCGTCGCTCCCTTTCCCCCTGCACCACCTGCCCAAAGCAGGGAGATTGTGGGAGGAGGAGGAGCACCCCGCAGGGCGGCAGCAAGCAGGTTGGCGGCCATGCAGCCGTCAGGTGGTGAACGCGGTGATGATGATGATGATGAAGATGACCACAGAGAGAACCATCAGCACGGAACAGATGATGTTCAACACCTTGGCAC